GTAATTCATGTTGGAATTGAAACAACAGAACCATAATATAGGAAAAATCTGTGACAAGAGTACCCAGGTCCAAACCACGCATGCACTGTGGGCTGGGGGTGTAGAAATCCATTTTCTTACTCATATGCAGACCCCAAATCCAGTGGACCAGAGTAGCGTTGCCATCAGCTCCAGCACTGACCACGAGGGCTGCAATCAACAACCATGACCAGCTTTGTATTGCTGGAACTCTAGGATCACAAGGCAGCAGGTCTGTTCTTTCTTTCAGCAGCAGTACAAGCTTATGCCTGCTTAAAATGCCCTTAAACCTACTGTCTGAGAATCTTGTTTCTCTATCAGTATGTACATTTTCAACATATAAAAATTAGAAAATGAAATTCCATCATTGAAAACTGATTGTATTTGAAACTTTGCAGTTCTACTACTTACACAAGAATGATTGACTGTTGAGAAAGGATCTTGGCACAAATAATCCAAAATTTGAGTCCAAAAATCATACACAGATAGGCACTAAGTGTGATGTCTGGTACTAAAAGCTTAACCTAAAGATTTGTACAATTCCTCTCATTGCTTGAAATTGCTTAGATAGGACAGTCACAGTGGAAGTTTGTCCTAAGAAAGATTGCAGGAGCAGTAACTATCTGTTACACATGAAGAAAGTATAAGAAAAAAAATGCAGGATAAGAAGCAGGAATGTTACATTTGAAAAAAAATCAGGATGGATTTGGCACTACAACTACTTCATGTATGCTAGGAGACCCTTGATGTAGATGCAGCTTTTCTGGCCAAAAAGTTTAAAAGAATGCCTGGGTAAAATTTCACTGACCTGTCTTTTTAAATACCCAGAATTATACTGGAGAGATCAAGCAGACCAATAAGTAAGATGCAGTTTGAAATGTGTACAGCTGTCTAGAAAGCTCTCCATGAGCGGGGCTGACCTTTTTATTTATTGCTGAGACAAAAGTGTGGTAAAAGGGACCTTAAAAATCATCCAGTTCCACCCCCCCCTGCCATGGGCAGGGACACTTTCCACTACATCAGGATGCTCAAAGCCCTGTCCAACCTGGCCTGGAACACTGCCAGGGAGGGGGCAGCCACAGCTTCTCTGTGCCAGTGTCTCACCACCCTCACAGTGAAGAATTTCTTCCTTATACCTAAGCTAAATCTACCCTCTTTCAGTATAAAACTATTACTCCTTGTACTATCACTACACTCCCTGATAAAGAGTCTCTCCCCATCTTTCCTGTAGGCCCCCTTTAAGTACTGGAAGGCTGCTATAAGGTCTCCCTTGAGCCTTCTGTTCTCTAGGCTGAAGAGCTCTCCCTGTCTGCCCTCATAAGGGAGGTGCTCCCACCCCCGATCATCTTTGTGGCCCTCCTGTGGTCCCATTTGAGCAGGTCCTTCTCTTTCTTATGTTGGGGGCCCCAGAGTTGGATCCAGTACTCCAGGTGGGGTCTCATGAGAGCAATCACCTCCCTTGACCTGCAGGCCACACTTCTCTTGGTGCAGCCCAGGATATAGTTGGCTTTCTGGGCTGTGAGCACACATTGCACTCATAGTCAGTTTTCCATCCACCAATACCCCCAAGTCCTTCTCCGTAGGGCTGCTCTCAATGCACTGATCACCTAGCCTGTATCCGTCCTTGGGATCACTTCAACCCATGTGCAGAACTTTGCACTTGACTGCACCACACAGTACTTGGCCAAAAATTGAAATGTACTCTTTTTATTTAGGTAGTTTGAGAGGCCTCTGGATTTTAAGTTGTTAAAGGCAGTAAAGCCATTTATATGTTGGCATCAACCCTGTTGAAAAGTAGTGTTGAAAACAAGGTTGTGCCATCTGTTACTAATTTGCATCCCAGTTCCGACAGCTACACTGGACTGTTGCAGGATGGTTGATCTCCTGATGAAAAAGCTCTGCTCCAGCTTTCCCATTTTAACTTCTATCCAGGCCTCTTCCTTCTACAGTCTCATGCAGAATGAACCAAAAGTCATTATGGCCAAAACACTTGTGTGGGGAATGTGGTAAAGAAGGGATTTCCTTTTCTATTATAAGGTCAGGAAAGGAAAGAGCTATAATCTGGAGAATTACTAAATGAGAAGTTAATTCTGTCTATTAGCACGTAGTAAAAACATGCACTTTCATTTCCATTCCAGTAATTGATTTCAGCTCCTTAGGAATTAAATGAATGAAATAGTAATGAATTAGCATTCTACTTTGTATTTCTCTATATAATTTAATAGAAATATAGCTAGGGAAATGGCATATATAATAATGTCCGCATGGCTCTAAATAGACAGCTGAAAATCTGTTTCAGAAGTACATCTTGGAAGAAGGAAGATTAAATACATTTCCAAGGTTTGTATTTTTTGCAGCTGCTCTTGATGTACTCTGAAAGCGTGAGTCACAAGGCTAATCCTGACACAAAGCAAACAGGTTTGACCTTTCTTTAATGTCTTCATTTTGCATGCAAAGACCCTTCATCTCTTCTGAGACCAGAAAGATATGAAAGTCACATTCAGAGCCAAGCTGCCACTTCTTCATTCATTTTCTTCCCTAATTGGCTAGTCCAGGTTTGAGTGAAACTATGCCTTTTCGAAAGACTTAGGTTGATGTCTGCCTCATACAATCCAGCAAGAATCATCAGCTTTTGGAAGTGCTCATCCAAATTCACTATTTGAAAAAAATGTTTTCTAGAACAGCCACTAGTACCTCTACATGTTAGTGTATAATACACCCAAGTAATTTTATGCAGTACAGATTTTTCATTCATGTAGCTTTTCTGTATTAGCTGAATATCCATAGAGCCTGCTACTTTGGATAAAGTTGTAAAACACAATGCATAAAGTACTGTGTTCTTCTTCAGATGTGCAATAATTTTTTTCTTACACAGATCATGACTCACTGTATTTTGGAAGATTTTTATAATGTATTGTAACCACATATTTCAAAAAAGAGCCAGATCATTTTGACATTAAAGTAACAAGCAACAATGGCAAAATTTTGAAATAAAACTATTTTGATTATCCTTGTATGTAGGCTACATAGTAATTAAGCAAAACTTTCCGCAATAACTGCTATCTTACTGCTTATGTCTGATTTGGGCAGCCTTTTTTATTTTTGAAGTTTCAGTTTAAGTGATTAATTTCTAGAATGATAATGGGAAAGCATGCCGATCATACAAAAAAATTACTTCACTGATTTTGTGGAGCAATAGTTTTCTCTCTGACTTTGGATTAGACACTACAAATTTAGCAGAGGTACCTTTTCTCTGTTTGCTTCTTTCAAACAAGGCATACGTCTTTTGTTGTTCTTGAGGAAAATTTTACATAGGGAAAATAAGCTACCTTATGTAAAGAAAATTAATTCTTTAGTTATAAGAAAACTTGCTAAAATTTGTAGACAGGATCTCTGGACATAGGATGTATACTATACCTGTTCCAATCTGTGGTTAGGTATTTCTTTGCAGCTGGTGCTTCTGGCCACTTTGAAACACAAATCATCAACAACACGGGGAAAGAAACATTTGTACTCTGGAGACAGAGATTATCCAACTCCTTGAAGAAAAGGTCTGTAACTATTATGTCAAGTCTATTTACAGGAAGCCAGAGAGCAAGGTGAAAGAAGTGTTGTAGAAATGTGTTCTTACTGTCTGAAATACATCATGGTCCAATTTGCCTCCTGTAGGCTCCAGCTGGCTAACAGTCAGAAAAACCTGAACTCTGCTTTGTTTTTTGTTTTTTTGTTTTATTTGTTTTTTTAACAATGAGCAGTGATTAAGAGACACCTCCATCGAACAAATCATTTAATCATTAAATTTCACAAGAGACTTTTTGCTTATCAGAATGGTCTCCTGTGACAAACAAAGCATCACAGGTTCTTAACAAAGCACTATTCAACTTTGGAAGAGTGAAGTATGACAGTAAAATTTATATTAGCTGTAAATGAGATACCTGTAAAATTGAGACTATATGTTCATTTACTGAAATCTCTTTCAAGATGTCATTATAGTCAGTTTATTGTATAGTCATCTCTGCAATCCCTTGCATTTAAGGACTGTGTCCCTATATTATTAAAAGTTACACAATTTCAAAATTTTTAGCAAGCTACATTACTATTTATTTTCTAGACAATACCAATTTGAACAAATTTTAATAAAAGTTGATGACATGTTTTATGCCTACATGGCCATATGCATACTGAACAGGATTAGTTTCATGCAGAGAGTACAGGGTTATGTGATAAAAGGAAAGCTAGTTATTAATAAAAAACTGAAAAAAGCCCACAGAAGAATTAGAGCTTTTATTCCACGAACAAATTTGTCTTTCTTATGGAAGAAAAAAAGCCTTTTCTGTAGGTCACAAGACTGACTGCTGCACTACTTTGCTAGATGGGGTTAACTGTACTAGGCCAGATAAGGTGCAGATACAGCTGTACAATGTCTTCACTTCAACTCTGATCTATCAAAGGAGCAGTGAATCCATCAGTTTTTATGTGAAAGGAAGCAGCTTTGTAGAACTTCCTTGAGACTTAATGTTACATTCAACCTGATTAGTAAGCTTTTGATTAGACTTACCACTGAAGCCTGTGTTATGCCTTTGGGAATGGGGTAGCCACATTGCTTAATTTTCTGTTAAAATTCCTTAAGTAAGAGCAGCTACAGCATTCCAACATTCTGTCTTAGTTTACGATCTGATGACAAATTTGCTTGCCAGAATTGCTACTGTCTGTATACAAGCCTTTCCATATTCTAGTCCTTAAAGAGAAGCTAAATGATTATAAATTATCTTCTCCCCACTTTGTGCTTTCAGCCAGAGAAGTCAAAGGAAGGTAATATCCTCCAGGTGTTTTTTACAAATTTTTTTTTATGTTTCAGAAGTGGCCAAATGAAGCTTAATTGAAACTTTATACAATCAATTCCAATTCATGCAGACATGGAAAATTTAAATTTGTGAAAGAGTAACTATAAATGAGTAAAATAATTACAACACACAAGTTCATCAGTTTTCACAGATATGCCTACAAAACTTTAATATAAAAAGCAAACAACACTACCGCACTGCAAAGTATATTTAGAGATACAATGAACAATGTTCCAAAATGGGTATTTTTACTAATTGCTTGGACTGGAAGTACCATAACTAATGCTGTAGTTGTGGAAGTCCTGGCCCAAAGAATTATGGCAATTTATGCTATTACTGCTTTCCTCTCACAGGGAGCTGTTGGAAGTTACCAACTTCATCCATTTCAGTACAAAGTTAACTGAGTAAGCAGTAGTGGACTTCTCTGGCAGAACAGGAATGATTTCAACTTCCACAACCATGTGTGCACTTGATATCTGGTCACAGCCAAAGGACTTAATTGCTCCCATGTTATCAAAGACAAAGCTGAAGAGTATGTTAGATAGAGCATCATGCATTCAAAGTGTAAGGCCACTGTGAAAGTTAGAAGTTAAATACAAACAATTTTCAGTAACTATTAACTACTGAATGTCATTTTAAAAAAGAATACAGTCTTTTCCTGAACAGCTTGAAATTTTACCTGATTATTAAATCATCTATCAATTACATGAAACATTCTGAAAAACTTAATACAGAAGCTTTTGGGGTATTTCCCATGTATATTCTTCTCTCCCAAAGTGCCCATAGCATGCTGGGTTTTGATAGATTGGCCTCTTCAAATCCAGCTCTCTTAATGAAAAGAAAAAAAAGCAAATCTTACATTTATACTTAACTCTACTCCAACATATATTATGATTCAGACACACCAGTAATAATATTATCCCTGAAAGACAACAAAACCTAGGTGTTGTTTCCTTGCCCAGTCATCCAGATTTATAGCAGGAAACGTAGTGAGCTGATGGTTTCAATTTAAAGTGACTAGAAACAGTCAGCTTTCTTCAAATAGATCAGAGGTATTCAGTTAATTTATAAGCATTATAATGCAGAAGCATTACAACTGGAATAAAGTTAAGCTATACCTGTGCAACCATCAGTGTGTTTTCTGTTATTGCAAGTGTAATATAGAATATTTTCTAATGATACTGTGCCAGAAAGACAGTGATGATCTCAAAAGAAGCAGCCGAAGAGGATCTAGTAGACTGAGTAACTGTGAGGTTTAACTGCTTATATAGATACGAAGTAACTGTTTAGAATAGGCTTAACACTGATTATGACTAATTATAATAATGAAGGTGCTTTTTAGCCTGTATAATGTGGCAGATTGCAGCTGTGCTAAATGATTAGCCACAGGTATTTACACAGAAGTTTCTCTTAATTTTATGAAAGGCCTGAAACATTTTCTTCTACTTGCACTTTCATGGTAATTGGTATTATGCTGTTCAATTATCTTTGAAAGCACATTTAAAATAGATGATTCATATCATAATCTGCTGGAGAGAAAAATCAGTGGAGGAACAACAAAGAAAGGAAAGAAGCACAAATACTAACAGGATAATGAATACATTTCAGATGGTGAAGAGATTACAGAATCTCACACTTATGATGTACAGCAGCACAGTCTTGTTTCAACTGATATTTTGTGCAACATGATCACATGCTCCAATGGCTACTACAGTCATTTGTACTTGACTCTAACAGAAAAGCCACCAAAATGTGAGTGCTGACTAAATGAAAAGTAAAACAACATGAAGTACTTTAGTGCATAGTTGATTAGAATGGATAGCCAGCACCACTTACAGAATTTTGAAAATTGTGAGGTAAAATTTAACGAGGAAATACTAAACTATGCTCATGTTTTTGCCTGCTTTCTTCCCTTCTTACTGCCTTCACCACTTCCAGGGCTATGATAATGTATTTTAAAAATGCAGCATATTTGAACACACCAAATCAAGGAAAGTGTCTGGGAACCACCACTCTGATGGCAATGAGCTGCCATAATGACAAAGGCAAAGCAGAGTTTTGATTATACTTGTGAACTGCTAACACTTGGAAAACATTAACTAGCAATAGAAGTTGCCATAACACCTCGCATTATCTCAGACTATTAAAAATATGTTAGCTCTACTCTCAGCATATGTGTCTGGGAAACATTCTGAAAAGGAGTTCAAAAGGCTGGCTGCACCAGCAGAATGATGATAGAGCTTGTCAGAAATCTCTTTCCTTTTTTAAGGAAAAAAAAAGAGACTTCCTATTCACTACCATGTTGATACTTCTCCCCTCAGAGTCAAATATACTCAAGATTCCTCAAGAGTCTAGAATGATAGTAATAGCTCTGGATTTAAGAGAACTGAATCTTTAAAAGCATTTTCCTCAAATAATGAGATAGCTAACATGTATGTTTTCACATTTCAGAACACATGCATACAACCCAAACACAGTTAAACAGTCCTTCCTACTTTTTGCTTAAAAGAAAGGAAAGAGTATCAGGCATGTTTTACACGCACCTTTTCTTCATAAAGAATGCTAGGAGATATATTGTTGCCATTTGTCCTTTATGATAAAAACTATCTATTTTCCTCAGAGAAAGCTCAGCCTGGTAAGATGTTGGACCTAAGTGACATTGCTAAAAAGCAGAAGTACTTTCTAATCATCATCAGATACTGTCATTCTTCAGCCTCAGCAAGATACAAGGATTTCATGCCTTTGATAATGGAGACCAAGATCTACAAATATTTCTGGGGTTTATTTGCTGCAGCAGAGAAAAGATTATGTAGGACAAGATGAGAAAAAGCTTCTTGTTCCTAAAGCACTCACACACTTAGTTTTCCCAGAATGAATTATTTCCATGCACTCCCTGGAACTTCTATATTTTCATGTACTTTTTAAAACACAGCTATCAAAAGTAGATAAAGTAACCCAGGAAGTATTCTCTGTAATTTAACTTAATTCAAAGGAGGACAAAGGAGCTCTATAACTCATTTCTTACAGGCAAGAATCACATTAGCTTCTTCTCAACACAGCACTGGACAGCACAGCACTGACGGGTTCTCTTGAGATGGGTTTGCTTTTATCATTCAGTGCTTTTTCAAAATACAGTCCTGCTGCAGTACAGGCTAACATACACTTAATTTTCTTCCATCATGATGTGTTTGGATGAAAATACTAAGCAACACTAACCTTCCGTGGCTTTCACTCATCTGCCCCCTCGTGTCTGCTTTCTACAGATTTCAAGAATAGTCCAATGCTTCAGTTCTATCTGTATACTTCTTAGTAACCAAGAACTGATTTTTGTTAGAAACTGCCTTAATCATAACTACCTTACCCTTAGCTAATTTTGAGATTATGCTAAACCTGTTTTTCATTAACCAGTAAGATGAAAATTCTATATTGCACTAAATAAAGCCTACATGGTATTTGTCATAATATACAGCAAATTAGTCTGCAGTTCCCTCCATCATCCATTTTGTCCTTTCAGGTGAAAAGGTGGTTAGCATGGAAACAATATCAATAGCAGAACCAGCTCACTTGTTAGCCTCGGTGAAGGATGGGAAGGTCTTAGTGTAGCATACAGACACCAATGGGCTGAAAACACTTTTCCACTTGATACGTTTTTGCTTTTGTTAATCTTTAATCCAGCCTTCTATGACTTCACAGGATATTTGCTTTTCTGCTCTCCCATCCACCTCTCTCCTCCCATTTTACCTTCATTGCTTGTATCTGACATCTCCATAGCTTGCTGTTAACAAAATCAATCTTGACTTGTCTAGAGTCAGGCTCAGGTATTTAAAGAGGGTCTCTGGAAATTACTGGAATAAATACTGTGATGTATGTGTTAAAAAATGCCACTCAAAATGTGCATACCAAGAAATCAGAAGTTTGTCTTCTGAACCCTCAGAAAAAAAAATTATCAGCAATTTGCTAACCATCACTATTTGTGCTTGGCTTATTCCCAATATCCCCTTCCCTTGATGAACTCCAAACTCTTAAGTTTAATCAGGTATCAAACACATGCAGAACACCTAAAGCAAGGGGTCTTGTTCCTATCTGGGATGTCTAGATACTATGTCATTGACCATAACCACATCCAGTGAGCCCTTCCTCTGGTCCACAGAGAAAGAAAAAGATTTTAAACATACCTCTGCAGCAAAACATCAGCCAGATCACTGCTACTTTTTATTGTAGTAGTTTGTTGTACTGGGTTAAAGTTATTACATAGCAGCTACTCAGAATAAGTATGTGTATAAACTCGTATTGTAAACTTCCTAGACAAATCTCAACTGTTTAGCATTCACACTGAGTTCATGTTTAATAGTGAAACTGTCTAGGGGCCAATAAAACACCTCTTTTGACTTCTTAGTCTTACTAGTTCCAAAAATTAATGCATAAGGAAGGATGTGCATTTTTTCTGAGCATATAATACTGATTAAAGTTGTTGTTTTATTAAAAACAACTGAATTTTGCTTTTAGTCATGCTATACTAGGAACACACAGTAGAGAACTCATGGTAACTTTACAGTAATTTCAAATATATCTTAAAATGGATTAAGTTACAACTAATATGACCATGTAGTACCGTAGGTTGCACAACTACATCTAGACACTGCTAACATAGCTGTTTGTAATACGCTGTGCAGTCCTGGTTAGAGTTCTGGGCATGCATATATGTGCAAAGGATCATTAAGCTGCTGGAAGTAAAAGCAAGGATGCTGCAAAGACGTACCCAGAGCAGGGATCGCAACAGAGTTGGAAAAAGAATACTATGGAGAAGACACTTTTTGTTTCAGGACCATCCTAGCCTGTGTCTCTGGCTTCCCTCATAGCACTCCTTAATAAGGCACACCCAAGAGGAACTTCCTGAAGCCCCATCCTAGTATGAGAAATGCTTTTCTGAAACTGGAGTGGGGCTGTGATGGTAGCATGTATTCTGTGGGGGTGAGCACACATGAGACAATTTCTGTTATGGTGCATTGCTTTCATGGTTGGTCTTACCTGGATTAATACTCTTTCACAGATATCAGCTTTCACTGAAGATTTTGCAATCCACTGAGCTGCATGTGCTGCAGAATAATCAACTTTGAAGGGATCTTTTCCACAGAATGCACCTCCACCATGGGATCCCCAACCTCCATAGGTATCAATGATCTTCCTGCAGTCAGTCCAGGATCACTCTACAGGACAAACAATTGAATACATTCATGAGACACAACAGTTTAACCAATCCTATACTATGTTATTGGGTACAGCTTTGTTTTGTATTTGCCACAGATAAAACTCATTGTTCAGTGTTTGCCCTCACATGCAATGTGTTTAATGAATGAGGTCTACATGACTGGAGTATTTTTCAGAGATGTAGTATGCCATCTGTGCTGTGGCCACTTTTGGAGACTGATAAGGATGTGGCACAACTACAAGCATCACAAAAAGTGTGCTCTCCTGAAACCAGCAATCATGAAGTACTGTCTCTGGATTACTGGCCAATGACTTCACTAAATAACACTTGGAGGCCAAGAATTTAGAGACACAAAAGCCTTCCTGAAAAACGGATCATATATGACTTAAAAGGTTAACAAACTTCACTTAGATATGCATACTAAAGGGAAGTGGGGGCTTCATAGAGCTGCAGCTCAGTGCTGCCAGCACAAGAGTACTGAGAAATTCTAGCTGAGTTCACGTTTATGATCCACTAGTGGCACAAGGACCACTTGGTACTATTCTTCCTCCTTCTTTCTGCCTGCCTGTGGCCCCAATAATGGAGTCCCACCCTCATGCATGGACTTTTGTCTGCCTCCTACAACTTAATGGGCTGATCCAACTTGTTCAAACAACAGAGAATAACTGCCTTTCTGTCAGATTAGCAAAACTGGTGACTGCAGACTGATAAATGAATTCCAAAGTGTTAAGAAACTGCATTAATCCACTAATTTTAAATCCCCAAATACGTACTATAGGAGTAAAGCTCACATTTATTCCTCAGTGAAGGTGCTATCCCTACACCCTCCCAGCGTGATCATAAGCACAGTCTGTAGTTTTAATTCTTCACTGAACTCTTTATACAAACTAGAAAGTTCTGTGTAACAAAACTTTTTACACTTTCATAGTGATTACCTGCTTACTTGGTACCAGCATCTGGAAAGCAGAACACATCTCAAATTCTAAAGACTATTGAGACTTAATACATTAAGTCTCCCTTGAAATTTGAGATTTTTGAATAATTTCAATTAGGAGATCAGATCTGTTGTTATGTCTGGTTCTGATTTTTACTGTGAAGGGATACTTCTAGTCAGGCATTTTACCACATAATTTAAGGGCTTGCTTTTGGTCATTTAAAATACTTTCTGGAAGAAAGACAAATATCCAAGAATCTGTACCTTTGGCTGTCCAAGCAGGTACAGCTTCAGTTTAGATGCCAGCTGTCCAGTAGGATGAATCCAGTAGAAATGACTGAAGCTTCCTTTAAAACATATAGACTTTCTTGGTTAAAGGTATACCAGTTCATTGCACGTTTGTTTAGGAAAACATTTAGAAGCATGTGGCAAAGTAGAATCCAAGTCTGTATAGACTGTCCTCTTTCAAAGCACCACACTTTGGGACAACCTTCTACAGACTTTTCACTTGGAAGGAGATGACAGATTGTGCCCTCATCAAGATACTTCTCTGGAATGACTTCTTTAACAACTTTCTCCATTAAGTCTTTCTGTATTTATTATAGAGGTATGTCGGGAGCGTGATGTACAGAAATCACAAGTGCGTTCACTTGAATGGGCTCCACTGTGCCATTACTTTCCTTGTATTACATTATGAACTAGAGAGGGGAAAAAAAAAGGACAGTGAACACTCAAGGCCTAAAGTACCAGTTTGAAAACTGAAAAAGATCCTCACAGTTATTTTCTACAGAAAAAAATAAACAGGTGAAGGAAATGGGATGAAAAATGATGGATTGTTGCAAATGATTAAAATCACTGTAAGAAAAAACTAAATACAGAAAGTACTGAAATATCACTACCAAAAGAATTAACTAAAGGATATCACATGTATCACCACAAGAAAGCTACAGAAGCCTAAGATTTTCCTGGCAGATGCTAAAATCATTTACGGTTTGGCATGTTAAGCTTCAAATAGCAAATTAACAAAGTTAAGCCAGAATAACTTTTGGAGTACCCTGCTAAAATGAGCAGATGTAGATCATATGATAGGCTGTATCCTTTGCTACTTATTGCATGGCTTTTATATTCATGCAAATATATTTACATCAATGCTCCATCCTTAGCATAGGTTTTCTTATAGACTAAGAAGGCCTCTCAGTTTGCCCACCCTTTAAAAATGCTTGGCTAGATACATCATAAAGAAATCAATCTATTCACATGTTCTATGCACTGCTGATAAAAGGCAACAACAGCAACAGCTGCACTGAAACAACAGCGGCAGTATAAATGCAATTTATCCCCACTAAGCAACACCTTTCTGTCTTGGAAATGTCACATGCGTGTCTTTCCTTTCCTCTCCCCTGAGCTGGGACGCCTCTCAGGTACCCAAACCTTTAAGGTGTCGTCTGCTGCCAGAGCTGACGGAAGGCCAGGGCAAAGTCCACCTGCTTGAGTCTGTTATTGCCCTGAGGAATGCCAAGGCGTTGTTAGTTACTCTAAACTCGAGAGGAGGGAAATTTTACTTTGAGCTAGCTTCTCTTTCACCTGCTCTTTCTCTGCTTACTGGTGTGTGGGTACATACTTCATTCTACTGGATCCAAATACTTTTATCTCTCTCTGTGTTTGTACGTGTTTATTCTACTGAACCCAAACACTTTTGTTTCTGTATGCGTGTTTGTACGTTTTCTGTATGTGCATGTACATATGTATAAATTAAGATACCATGAAGTAAGTTAGTGTGAATCTTGTCATCCTAGAATCTGTAAATAAGTTGCTATTTTTATAACATCTTCTAAATTATTTTGTAAATGATCAATTGCTGTTATTTATTAATAAATCTAAAATTCATATAAAATCATTACTGTGTTATTACTTTCATCCGCGACAGGGTCCATCTTACCCAGTTATCATATGTCCACAGTGGCCAGCAGCAAAAGTGTGTAAGAACAGCTCAAATATATAGTACTATTTTTCCAAATACTTCCCTGGTCTCCAACAATTTCAGCTCAGGGTCTTCCTGAAGCTAAAGTGACATCACTTATTAACAGATGGAATTACCAATTTTTGATGCATTTTTGTTACAGTAATTCACATAGTTGCCCTTGGCAACCATGAAAACTTTTAGCATCTACAGGATCCTAGAGCAAGAAGCTATGCAACTTCATTACAAATTTTGTGCAGAATCATTTCATAATTTATTTTGTTGTTTGTTTCAAGCATCCATCTGGGCTCTAAACTTTTCAATTTTATGTTAAACATGGAGCAAACAATCACAAAAAATTTACCAGATCAATACAGCCTACAACTGTATAGCTCTATTTCATATCCCATTCAATCCTCTCTTTTCCAGACTGGGAAGGCCTAGGCTATTCACTGAAAGACACAGTATGGCATGATCATATTTGTCACTCTTGCCATAAAAAACTTACTATTCTTGCCATACAAACTTACTATAGTCTTTTTTTGGGATGGGGAAGGAGGAACTGACTGCACACAGTATTCAAGACAGGCAACCATGGATTTATATGACAATGATATTCTGTTTCACCATTCATTCCCTTCCCAGCAAGTCCTAACGGTCAGCTTTGATTTTTACTGCTACTGAGCACCAACTCTTTTCACAGAAACATATGTCTATTACAACCTCAAAATCTCTCTTCTGAATGCCTGCAGTGAACTACAATCCTTACTTTCTATACATGGGGACAAGATTGCTCCCTTCCCCCTTGCATTAGCTTCCACTGAATTTCATCCATCACTTTGATCCAGTCATCATCTCATGAGAATAATTTCACTTGATTTCAAGATTAAGTATTACAGGCAGGAATGTACTATAAAATTGCACAACTATGGACTGTAGCATCACATTAAGCTAGCTTTAATTGGAAGTTTAGCTTAGAAAATCCAAACAAGCAGTTGAGAACTTAGCACACAGCAAGTTTTTGCTGTTTGTCTGCAAGAGGAATGAGTCTATATTGAACTATTAAACTACATCTTAGCTGGCATGGTATCTCTGAATTACACTGCAGACATGGTGCGAGTCCATAATAATAAGGTAGCCCTAAATGTATACCGCACATCAACCCCAGGTAGTGATACCAGTACAGTACAGGGTATCCTGCTACTGTTATTTCCATACTTGGTCTTGTGACCCTGTCTTGTGTCCTTGCTCTACTGACCAGCAGTGCTCTTCCTGCCTGCTGCACCCTAGCAGACCACCTATGTGTGCAAGGCATGTGTGGTGCTGTGAATCCTCTGCTGGGGAAGAGATACTATATTGCAGGTGTGAGGCAGGGAAGAACAGCTCTCAGCTTTTACAGTGTGGTCATTACAAAAAGGAAAAGCCTCTTAGAAGAACACAAAGTTGGGCTACTGGGGCTTAGAGAGATGGCTGAAGAATAAGGCTGCAGTCAGCACCAGCAGTCCCTAGAAACTCTCAGACCCATTAGAGCCAAGCAAAGCTTGATGGCGATGCAAGAGCATGGTGATTCACAGCATGATGCTGCTTTTTTAGTAGCAGGATAAGAAAGATTCATCTTCCTACCTTTGACTGCTTTCTATCCTGACTGAAATTTAATTCAACCAAAAGAAATCACAGCTCGGGAGCTTCACTGTATCTGCAACTCATAAGTGAGCTCATCTGTTCTACCCAAGAGAAAGTTACTGTGTAAGGTTTTGGGCTTTTCACTGGGGGGTGATTTCTCACATGTTTAAGTCTCCCCAAAAGAGTATTTTGAACACCATCAGTAGGTAGAAACTTCCACATTCTCTTTTGTACTGTCTTAGTTAATGGTTAGTTAATTTTCTCTCTTGACTCTCATTTGTTGGGCATGCTGGGAAGGACATTTTTCAAGAAAGCATCACTTAATCAGAGAAGAAGTAGAATAATTATTCTGCTTTATGCTACTTACAGCTAGTATTCTCTTGTTTGACTTTACTACTACCAAGTTTCTTGGCAGCACAAAGAGAGACCAACTCTGACCTGTTGAAACGAGATAGTACCAGTATAATAACTCAGAACTTTGTATGCAATTGGTGATCCTAAAAGTCAAAAAAACAAATAAAACTCAGAACCAGAGATAAATTTTTCTACTGGTAGACAGAATCTAGTTTCAACATCTCTGTAAACTACATTTCATAGTTTTGTAAAATAGTGTTATACAGAGACTCAGTACTTACATAATGCTTTGAGATTTTTTTTTTCTGAAACTTTGAAGTAAGGCCTGCACAACTAAACAGAAATTCTAATTTTCACCTGATAAATCCTGTATTTCACATAATCAGTGCCATAACTGATTTCTGTTCTCCAGCCCACTCCTTTTTTTAGCAAACTCTGTGTCTAGTCAATTTATCTTTTCCAGACCTATGTTTTGTTATATTCAAGTTTTCTGACACAATTTTTCCCAACAGATTACAGAAATCAGGGATTTATCTACGTAATTATGTCACATCTCAGTCTTTTATTTGGTAAGACAAACTGTTCATGTTTCTCACATCTCTTATGACACATTTTTCAGTCCTTGTAATTTCTGCAGCATTTCTCTGTTACCATCTCCAGCTTTTCAGCAGTTTTGGAAGCATAACTTCCTGCAGTACTGAAATACATCCTGCATCAAGTCTAACACATCTGCTAAACCCTCTCCCCCATGTCTCCGCACCGCTCACATCTGTGCATCAAGGATGACATTAAATTCTTCAGATGAAGTGTCACATTAGACCACTGTATTCGTGGGATGCAGCTAGTTCACTGTGCTGCAACTACAGTCTCGATGGCTTGTTCTAAATAAAAAATAACTGCATTTGGAGAGTTCTTTAGACACGTTCCCATTCCCCTTGGCAACCCAGTTCATTCCAATTCAATTATATGATCTTAGCCTCTGGAAGAGGTGATGTTGCTAGTGACAACATCCATGTAAAATACAGGGTAGTCCCAACAAAGTCTCACGAAGAAAGGCAAGCCACTTTGATCAGAATCATATTCATATGAACTGTGCACTTCCTGTGAACCAAGGGCAACGTGCTTCTGTAAAGGCACAGAAAATATCTATTTAGCATTTCTGGATTTTGAGTTTTATTAACACCTTTTATTCCATGAAGAAATGCATCTTGACATGCCTGTTTTCTCAGTTCACTTTTTCACTAGTTTTCCTAGATTCCTCATTATCATTATACCCGCCAAGTATAGTTTTCCTTGATACCACTGGCTTCTCCTGATCTATATCTTACATTTCAGCATTTTTAATTTTTAATTTGTATTGGGGGTACTATGTCCTTTTTTATGTTGATTCTTTTGCCGGTTTTTTCCTGC